ATCAACTAAATAAACAATATATTATATTCGATTACATTAGGGTTGCTTGTTTACATTTCTAATACTAACTGACTTCATATTTGGTTGAATAAATTAAAGCATCTGATCATATATCTAATACATTTGGTCTATTCACTATAAAATAGGCCTTTTATATAGAATCATATAGAAAGAGATTTGGGTGTGAAACTCGACACAAACGAGGTAGAGGCGTAGAGCCTTTTGCTCCTGAATAATGTTGTACAAACATATGTTTTGATTTTAATTAGATTAATTAGTGATCAACGAAAGAAGCAATAATATAAAAAATTCCCATTTTCTTACTTCTATTAAGTGTCGAGAATGTAGATTTAACAGCTAAAGTGTTAAAAATCGCATAAATTTTATGGGTAAAGTGTAGTGTTTCCTAATTTTTTTACCCCCTTTAAGTGTTAAAAATATAAATCTGGTAGGCGAAAACTGAAAAAAAAATAGCATACTTTAGAAAATTAAAGCTCCTCCTGCTAAATTAATTATGTGGTTAAACTTTTAAACATTGATTGATAATGAAGAACATAGTTAGGTGCATGGATCTGATGTAGGACTGCCAAATGCAAATAATATTATGTGCCAACAAAATGTACTTGCTAATACCTACCAACTTCAGACATAACTCAGTAAATAGCATTTCAACAAGAGGGTGAAATATATCACACATACAATTATACTCTAATCTAATGGAATTGTTAGATCTGAATTAATCTAATGGAATTGTTTGATCTTAAACATTTTCACGTATATATCTTTTGTTATGAATGTGACCGATCATCCTAGCTATAGGTTTGAAAAGAAAAAGATATAAAGCTGCATGAACCAGCTGTGAAGGAGAAGAGAACAAAGTTCACTATTAATGCCCACTGTTTCATTGCTTGAATTGTATGTGCAAAGTCTGATCGAGATATTTGCTTTTATAATGCTATAACCCTAAATGGATAAACTCAACACAGTACAAAAATGAGATGGCCAAATAACAACCAGACATTTAAATTAACACGAGACAAAACTGCAACTACAAAAGGTTGCTCCATGTCATGCAGCCACGTCAGGTTTTGTTTCCATGCAATGCCTTGACTTCTTGTCCACGTTAGCTCGTGAAGATGACGTGGAAAATATCAGTTGTCCTAACAGGCCCCCGCAATTCAAGCGAGGTGAGGCTTGCAACACCTAAAAGCTGTCGAAGCCGAGTGAAGAATTGTAAACTCAAGGGCTTTGTAAAAATGTCTGCCAACTGGTCACAAGATGGAATGTGTTGAACTGCAAGCTCCTTTTTGCTGATTTTATCTCTAACAAAATGAACATCTAGTTCTATGTGTTTGGTCAGTGCATGCAAAACAGGATTAGATGCTAAGGCAATGGCACTTAAATTATCCACCCATATCACCGGAACTTTGGGAAAAAGAACACCAACTTCATGTAAGAGAGATTGAATCCAACTAACCTCAGCAGCTGTATGAGCAAGACTTCTATACTCTGCCTCAGTACTAGATCTAGATATGGCATGTTGTTTCTTTCAACACCAAGTAACCATACTCCCTCCAAGAAAGATGCAAGAACCTGTGACTGACTTTCTGTCATCTGGGTCACCAGCCCAATCAGAGTCAGAGAACCCAATTAAAGTAAGCTCTTTACTTTCAGTCAAGTGAAGCCCAAAGTGGAGGTTTGGCTTAAATACCTAAGAATTCTCTTAACACTCTTCCAATGAGTATCAAGAGGACAAGCCATGAATTGACTTACTTTATTAACTGCAAATGAAATTTATGGCCTTGTAATTGTCAAATATTGTAAGGCTCCTACAATACTTCTGTAAAAAGTGCTATTGACAATAGGATCACCACAATGCTTAGATAGCTTGGAAGAAGAAACCATAGGAGTAGGACAACCTTTGGCTTGATCTATATGAGCTCTCTGAAGTAGATCACAAATATATTTGTGCTGGGATAGATGTAAACCTTTGGATGTCAGATGCACCTCAATTCCCAGAAAATGATGAACACTTCCTAAGTCTTTGATAGGAAAGATATGGCTGAGGATTGAGATTGTTTTCTGAATCTCATCATTATCATTGCCTGTGATTAAAATATCATCAACATAAATCAAAAGAAAAATCTGTTGGTGCTTATTTCTCCTATAAAAAAGGGAAGTGTCAGCCACAGAATTTTTGAAACCAAGAGCTGACAAGGAGTTTTTAATTTTGGTAAACCAGGCTCTGGAAGCTTGCTTTAGACCATAAATAGCTTTCTTGAGCTTGCAGACCAAAGGTTTATTGTCATGAGAGAACACTTCAAAATTTGGAGGTTGTTTCATATAAACAGTCTCTTCAAGCTCTCCATGAAGGAAGGCATTGCTGACATCAAGATGATTGACCTTCCAATGCAAATTAATAGCCAAGGTAAGAATAATCCTTATAGTGACAGGTTTGACCACTGGACTGAAAGTCTCTCTAAAGTTAAAACCTGCAGTTTGAGTGTAGCCTTGAGCTACAAGCCTGGCTTTGAATTTAGAGATTGAGTTGTCAGCATTTCTCTTAATTTTATAGACCCATCTGCTTCCTACTATATTGCAGTCTTGAGGAGAACAAACAAGATCCCAAGTTTTATTTTTGATGAGAGCATCATATTCATCTTGCATGTCTTTCTTCCATCTCTCATCCTGCAAGGCCTCACTTGAGTTAGTAGGTTCAGTTTCACTCATTGTGCTGGCATAAACCTTTGGTTTGAAAACTCCTCTCTTTGACCTGGTTATCATAGGATGAGTAGACTGATTAGTAGCAACAACTTCATGCACAAGATCATTATGTTGAGGAGATTCATTCATCACAATAGGCAGCTCAACAAAACGAGGTATAGTGGAGTTTGTGTGCTGTGAATTTCTTGAGGTCCTGTGATGAGAGGAGGATGAGTGAAAAGGTAATGAGTTATGATCAGGTGTAGATGGACTGGGAATTTGAGGTGACTGATTTGTATCATCTTGAATTGTTTGAACAAGAGTTTTATGATATGTGTGAGAGAAATCCACAACACAAGGTGAAACACAGGAATATATGGGATTAGTAACAGGTAAAGAATTTGAAGTTTGAAGTTTCTATTTGTATGGAAATTGTTTTTCACAAAAAACAACATCCCTACTGATAATGACCTTTCCAGAGGGAAGAAGGACCTTGTATCCTTTATGTTGCGGGCTATATCCAATGAAAACTCCAGAATCTGATCTGAAAAGGAGTTTGTGCTTGTTGTAAGGCCTAACAAGAGGATAGCACAAACAACCAAAGGCCTTAAGCATATGCAGATTTGGTTTATGGCCATAGAGCATTTCAAGTGGACTTTTAAAGGAAAGTTGTTTGGTTGGAATACGGTTTATAAGGTAACAGGCTGTGACAAAGGTATCATCCCAAAAGTGCATAGGTAATGAGGACTGAGCTAGCAAAGACAGGCCCATTTCAGCAACATGCATGTGTTTTCTTTCAGCAATCCCATTTTGTTGGGGAGTATGAGGACAAGATACCCTATGTTGAATCCCATTGTCTTGAAAAAATTTGGTCAAAGATCTGAATTCTCCACCCCAGTCAGTTTCAACACACTTGACAGGTTTATTAAGTTGTTTTTCAGCAAGAGCTTTAAAATGGACAAAAGCAGCATAGGTATCAAATTTATGTTTCAAAAGATAAAGCCAAGTAAACTTACTATAGTGATCAATAAATGTCACATAATATAGGTAACCATTTCTTGACTTTACAGGTGAGGGTCCCCAAAGATCTGAATGGACAAGTTCAAGAGGGTGATGATAAACAGTATCAGATAAAGAATATGGCAATCTGTGAGCTTTAGCAAGCATACAAGAAGAACAAGGATCATTCATTTCATTGTCATCAAAAGGAATATTACAATCTTTTAAAGCTCTTATTACAATATCCTTAGCAGAATGTCCTAATCTCTTGTGCCAGATTTCCAAATCACACTTCTTGGAAAGGAAAGCAACATTTGCACTAGGTTGAATATTCTTGGAAAGAAAAACAGCATTGGCTTTAGGAAGTTTGAGGTTTCTGGTTGATGATGTAAGTTGAATTGATAGAGGCCCTCCTTAAGAACTCCCTTGAGTAGGATTTGATGTGAAGCCCGGTCCCTAACAACACAATAGGCAGGATGAAATTCAAAGAAAACGTCATTGTCATTTGTAAATTTAGAAACACTAAGAAGATTTTTTGTTATGGAGGGAACATGAAGAAGCTTATCAAGAATAAAGGTTTTAGAGTTATAAGGAGATTGAAAATGAGCATTGCCAATGTGATAAATGAACTCACCAACACCATTACCCATGTGAAGCCTGTTTGGACCTTGATACTCAGATGCACTTGACAGATTGTTGAGGTCATTTGAAATGTGATTGGTGGCTCCTGAGTCTGGGTACCAAAAGGAGTCCACATTGTTTTCAGCCACAACACTAGGAGAAGAAGAAGAAGGCAGTTGAGCTAAATGAAGTGTAGGTGTCCTCTGAAAACCACCATAAGAAGTGAATTGAGATTGCTGAGAAGAGTTGGGGTTGGACTGCTGCTGTGAAGCTGGAATCAAACCTGTACCAACATTTGTCAGCTGTGTGTCCTGCAACCCAGCAAACTTGGCATATTGGCCTATTGCCTTGGCCTCGGCCATCTCTTCCTCTAAATCCTCCTCTAGATCTGCCTTTTCCTCTGTTAAAAGAACCACCTCTTCCTCTATTGGCTGAATGAGGTCGGGTGTTGTTTCTAGAACTGCTCTGAAATGCAGTGTTCAGAGAAGGTTGAGAGCCATCTGGATTAATAACACCATTTTCTTGTACAACTGTAGCTTCTAGTCTAGCCTCATAGCTCAACAACAATGCTTGCACATCCATAATGTTCCAGGTTTCAATTCTAGAGGTTATGGTAATCATAACAGGATCATACTCAGTTCCCAAAGCAGATATGATATGAAGGATTTGATCTTTTTCAGAGACTTTTGCTCCAACTGAGGCAAGCATATCAAAACATCCTTTCATTTTGTTCAGAAAATCTCTCATACTAAGGTTACCTTTCCTCATGGTTTGCAGTTGAAGCTTAAACTGCATCTGCTTTGCCAATGATTGGCTGGTGAAGTTCGTTGAGAGTGTATACCAGATCTCCTTGGATGTTTGAAGTCCTACCATCTGAACGAGAAGGGTTTCAGATAAGGATAAAAGTAGCCATGAGGCCAAGATCTGGTCTTGCCTTTGATAAAGAAGGTAGTCTGGGTTCAAGATCTGCACTCCTTCTTGTTCAATGAACTGAGATGGTTGTTGCTCTCCATTGATGAAGTGCTCAAGCCCGTACCCTCTTATAGCAATCATTGCTTGCTGTTTCCAGATAAGATAATTGTTATCATCAAGTTTGATGGTCAATAATTGACTTTGAGGGTAAACAATCTGGGATTGAGAAGTAGAGGAGTTTGGTGGATTGCCAGTTCTTGACATGGCTGTATCTGAGGTGGACATTGGAAAACTAAAACCAAAGGAACGAGATGGAGAGAAGAAGAGGTTTCAGAGACAGGACGAACCTGCTCTGATACCATGAAAAGAAAAAGATATAAAGCTGCATGAACCAGCTGTGAAGGAGAAGAGAACAAAGTTTACCATTAATGCCCACTGTTTCATTGCTTGAATTGTATGTGCAAAGTTTGATCGAGATATTTGCTTTTATAATGCTATAACCCTAAATGGATAAACTCAACACAGTATAAAAATGAGATGGCCAAATAACAACCACACATTCAAATTAACATGAGACAAAACTGCAACTACAAAAGGTTGCTCCATGTCATGCAGCCACGTCAGGGTTTGGTTTCATGCAATGCCTTGACTTCTATTCCACGTTAGCTCGTGAAGATGACGTGGAAATATCAGCTGTTCTAACAAGGTTCAGATTAGACTTTGTCCTAGGAAAATTATGAACTTTCAATTATGAAACTATATAAATAATGTGATAATAAATTAAATATACATTTCATTTTTTTTTTTAAATTGAATTTTATCTAGTCCACGAGGCGTGACCCTGAACAATATTTTTCAACGTCGTGCCGACTAATTTTCTTCTCAAACCAGATACCACCACCAGCCCACCCACAGTGTACACAGCCGCCACCTTATAATTATTCCAAAACCTCACGAATTTTCTCATGTATCTAGACAATCACAATTAACCAAGCTACATATATATGTAATTTTTCCACGTAGAAGCAAACTTTTACTTTCTTACCTTTAACACGTCACGTGCAACATATTTTTTCCATTTACTCGACATATAAATACTATAACATCCCTAGCTAACAAGTTACCTTATTCCAACGTATGATATACATAAATACCCTAGGTTTTGAGCTACTTTTTTTCAGTTAATTAGAAAATTCACTAGGACAAGCTATCATATATAATAAATTTATGCAGAATTAAGGTTTGGTTTAATTACGTACTATAATGGATGAGAGCCTAATTTATCATCCAATGTTTTCTCCCAATCCTTCTTCTTCTTCTTCTTCTTTCGGGTCGTATATTCCAGCTTCGTTATCTCTCGCGCCAAACGGGAACAACAAAACCGGGGACTCAAATGGATTGCCTAGCGGTTTCAATAGGGAAAGTAGTGAGCTGATGATGAAATCATCTGTGGGGCCCACGGGCAAGATCAAGAAAGGGGAGAAGAAATTAGCTAGAAAGCCGAGATTCGCCTTTCAGACGAGGAGCCAAGTCGATATACTCGATGATGGATACCGGTGGAGAAAGTACGGGCAGAAGAAAGTGAAGAACAACAATTTCCCTAGGTATATATATATATATATTAAAGTATTTCTACATTTTTTTAAAAAATAAAAATTAAAAATACTTAACTAATTATTTAATTTGCTTACACATTCATGAAATTAAATCACATGGTGGCTGATTTTTTTGGTGATGTATAATGTCAGATTTCTTTAGACGTACTCCTTACCAATGTGTCTTTACTCTTATACCGTAAACTCCCAGAAAAAAATCACATGTTGCCATGTTGTGTGTGCTAATGTGTAATAAATTCGAGGCAATAAACGAGACCGATCATGTGTTAATTCGATCACAATATCATAATCTAAAGGCATTGTATATACACATTCCAACGAGCTGACAAAGTTATGTTATTCGAATAACATAACTTATGTGTGTGTTGGATAAATATAACTGTATGTTTACGTACTTATCTGTGTGTCTTTGGCTTGCAATATTCCGATTTGTACGGAAAGAATAATGTATAGAATGTAGTGCAGACGACAATCAGATTGAAGTTGGTAATTACAACTATTATACATGTTACCTAATGTTAATATTTAGGCTAAATTGACTTTTTACTCCTGTTGGTTTAACGTCATAACAATTTTAGCCCTAAAGTTCTCACACTTCGCCTTTTGTTCTTGTTATCTAATATTTTGCAGCAATTTCACTCATTTAAGGACTAAAACTGCAACAAATCCTATATTTATATCATTGGGATAAATTTTTTACTAGCAATTAAAGTCTTGTAATATGAAATTTTGCTGCAATTTCGGTCCTCATCACAAGACCAAAAGGCAAAAAATTAAAAAAATGGGACTAGAACTGCTATAGTATTAAACCGACAGGACTAAAAATGTATTTTTGCCTTTTATTTATGTTGTACTGTAAGTTGATATATCGTACATCAATATATATTTTGGTTTTCGTAGAAGTTACTATAGGTGCACGCATGAGGGATGCAACGTTAAGAAGCAAGTGCAACGACTATCCAGAGACGAGGGTGTTGTAGTCACGACTTATGAAGGAGTGCACACGCATCCCGTGGAAAAACCCATCGAAAATTTCGAGCAAATCCTCAATCAGATGCATATCTATCCTATTGTGAATTAGCCATATATATCCTATTCAAAACATGATACGACAGTAAATAATTATCTTGCAGCTATATATAATGTGATGAGAAAATTAATGGTGTTAGTTACCTCATCTTATGTGGGCTGTTGTGAAAAGTTTGAAGCATTCACAAAACTCTGATTAAGAGTAGCAATCTTTTGCTCTCATGGAAAAGCCCTATATATATATATATATACTGCTGGGAATAGCTTCTGTATTGTGCATTTTGATATTTATTCACCTATTTGAATGTTATGCAGTGAGTTGAGATATGATTATGTGTTGATCTTCATTGTCTGTGTCCCATGAAAAGCTTCTCCCCATTTTTCCATTTTCGAATGTAATATAATATGAAAAATGTGTTATAAAGCAAAACCGAGGTTTGGAAGGGTGTGAAAAGTGTAATATATTTACCTTGCTTTCAGTTTGATGTGCATATTCCGATTTTTGCTACTCAGAACTGTACAACAACTTTTACATGTTCACTCTATTTACTCAAGAGATACACTCTATGTACAACATCCTTCTGTACTTGTCTATTAAAAATGAAATACGACTCCAGGCACAAGAATGAAACACTAGATACAGAAGATTAGATATCATACCAAGATTACACTCAATTTAGTATAAAGCCATGACTCGGGCCTATCAAATCAGAGAAAAACACATAAAATGCTCTATCAGACGGGAAAAACGGATTGATAATTACATGATTGCATGTCATTTTACACATGGAATCAACCACAATCCCAAAGGCTGCTGACGTAAAAACCGGAACACAAGTTCGGATAATCCTACTTTCTAAGACTACTAGCAGCAGGACACAAGCACCAAAAAAGGAACACATTATTCTCGAAAAGATAACTGATACAATGGCTTATGCAATTATAGAGAATTGCAATGAAACAGGTCTAGTGTTTGTCTTCCTTTGGAATATCTTTCTCGGGCATTTCTTTTGGTTTGGCCTTCATTTCTCTGCAATTCGAGCAGACATTAATCATCACACACGAGTACAATTGCTTCAAACTATCTACACAATCGAGCATTAACCAAAACAATCGAAAAAAATTGATGAAAATTCGGAATGCAGGCTTATCCTAAGCCATTCAAATTGAAAAACTAAATTCACTTTCTGAATTTTCACGCACACACAAACCCCAAAAACTTTAATCTTGGCAAATTAGCATCACATTTTTTAGCATTTTCACTCGTACAAACACAATCTTGGAAAATTGACATAAAATCGAAACCTTTCATTCGAGGCAGAAACAGATGCTCAATCAGTAGAGACATATTACATATCACAGTCACAAGCTCATAGACTAATAAGCATAAATGGAGATGAATAATAATTAATATTGATCGAAATTAGAACGAGATTTGTCGTAAAGGAGCGTACTTTGCAGCTGAAGCAGACTCCTCCTCCAGCCAGTGGCGGATGTGGCGGACGTTGCGGCGGAAGACGGCGGCTGACTGCTTCACGTCGCTCCTCATTAGCAGCACAACCGCGCTAACTCCGGCAACGGTCAGGATAAAATTCGTCAACGCCATTTTCAGGTATCGATTATTTTTAGCTCCGGTTGATTATTTGATCGCTAAATGCTCAAATTCGTTTAGCGAAACGAAGCACGTGAAGAAAATAAATCGAATTGCAGGGTTTAAGATGGATCGAGATTCGAGAACAAGATTCTTGGAAAGGAAGAAATTGGGTGTGGACCAGCTCTAAACTCATGTATCGAGCACGGCCCATTCCTAGTGAAGCAAATGATATTTAATGGGCTCATCTTGAGGCCCATGTGATACTTCTATTTGGGCTTTGCTTTACTATTCTTTTTCAAATTAACTAGAGAAGTAAACAGAGTTTGAGCTTAAGATATTGGAGTGGGGCTTCAACATTTATGAAATTGAGTCGAGCACTAGCCTAAAGGAGCTCAACTAAATAAAAATTTAAAAAATTACTTGTTCTCAAATTTTAACGAGTCAAGTCGACTTGATCGTTAACTAAATAAACATTAAATTTGTTTGAACTAGTTTACTTTATATTTATTTGAACTCCATTCGTTTATCATGCTAAAACGATAACCATTTTAAAATTAAATTGAATATATTTCTGAAACAGAGTCTTGAGTGTATAGAAACATTCAGTGTTTATTGACTTGAATTCATACAAATTTATAGATGATTATTATGTGTATTCGATTTGGTGATTGAACAAAATTTGTAACCCGTGTATTGCAGTTTCGAGTAGCATCGAACAGAGTTTTCTATTGCACGTAATTTCTTAATTTGGGCATAATCCTAATAAATCAACCGACAGGAGAACCGATTCTTATCTAACTTTATAAGATAAGATTTTTGACTGCTGTGATACCAATCCTAATAATTTGCTCTTTGTTAGAATACCTGTGAAATTTAACTTGTTCGTGATATTAAATAGAGTTGTTTAATTAAATGAACTAGTACGTAACCCGTGCCATGCACGAGATGTAAAATTTGGAAGAATAATATAATCTCACGTGCATTATGATGGAAATTGAAATCATTAAAATACATAGGAACATTGTTGAATCATAAAAAGTTCGGTAACAATCATAAATTATTAAAAACCTCCTTGTATACAACATTATGAGTTTGATTATTTGGTAGCTCCTCATTATCACAAACTAATATTTTCAACCCCCTTCTATTATTTACACGCGAAGCAGCAACATATAATTGGCCGTGACTAAAAACGGGTTTCTTCAGGAAAATACTAACGTGCGATAAAAAAAGAGTTTTTAAAAATTGAAAAGTCAAGGCAATCAATTTAGATTAATTAAAGGTCAAAGAATATCCGCTTCTTGAAATAAAGATCGTGTGCTATCATTAACCAAATATCCGGTTATTGATATAGAGTGGTTATCAAAAAATAGAACGCGATAAGGACGTTTCATGGAAATATCAATAGGATAAGGTCATAACAGATCGCTATACATTTTAACGATAAAAGCTCATATGGAATGATTTAATTAGATGTGTGAAAAGGACATAATTAATGAGAAGTGTGAAAAGGACAAAAATTTACCGGTTTTGGAAAATATTCAAATACAAATCCGACATTGACCATAATTTAACCTACTATTTTGGATAAATGTTAATTCTTATTATATAAGTATAGATTATGGATTGACGAGCTTGATTCTACTTGTTAAAACTCAAACTTAGTTAATTAACAAATAGAAATTTTATAGACTCTAAAATATTTTTTATTTTTTTTAAAGTTTAACTCGTTTATCAATCATAAATTCATAACAAGTCGAGTTCGTTTTGAATAATTTATATTTCCATCAAATATAATATTTATATGCACTTCTTTTTTTTTAAGGAAAAGTGTGAGATTCTCAAAGACACGGTTGGAGCCAACAAGGATCCGATTTTTATCGATATTTATTTCTTCATCTGCAAAATATATTCCTTTCCCAAATGTATAATTATAAATTAATATGTTAAGAAACTTTATAGAAGAAAATAAAATAAAATTTTCAGATGAGTAAGAACAAAAATTCCCAAGTCCTTTCCAGTCTCTGTTAGAACTATAAAGTAATTTACACATATATAATATTTTTATAGCTATCTGTAGGCAGAATAAATATCTTATCCTGAAACAGTACTAGCCAACATATGCATCCATAACTATATATATTTACAAAATAATTAAAACTTCATACTAAAATGTGTTGTACTTTTCAATTAAAGCATCCTCAACGTGTGGCTTGTTTTTTAGGGACAACATGATCATATTCATATATATCCGATGTCTGTATATATATATATATATATATATATATTTTTTTTTTNAGCTGTATATTTTTTATTAAATACGTAAATATTATAGTAACATATATAATGATTAACATAAAATTTGACACAATACACACATGAAAATATTCAATGAATTTAAATATATATTGTATCAACTTTAAAATCAATAATTACTATTATAACACATCATTTATGTCATCTATTATATCAAACATTATGTTGAATTAACATTATTTTTATTAATACTTGACAATTGAAGCGTGTGTGTGTGTGTGTCTGAGCTGAGGTTGAGCGTTGTCAGGTGAAGAAACGCATATATATGCAAGAATTTTGAATTAGAAAAATAATATTTCTTTCTGTTTGAGGGAAAGATAGAATTTAATTAACTTCTAAGTTATGTGTAACCTGACTTTATCTTAGAAGAAGAAAAAATATGATATTGTTACAAAATATGCAAAACAAATATATATACTACCAACAATATCTAGCAGTAGCGAGTAGCGACTGTTGAAACCGACAAGTCATGGATAAAAAGGAACCCAACAGGTAGAACATATGAATATACGCTATTTATCCATTTTACCTCATACCATATCTCCTATGCTTCGTGTGTTTATTTTTATTTATTTATTTATTTTGCAATTTATTCTTTTTAATTTATTACAATTGATATTTATCTACTGCCACCCTCCCATTTGGCCTTTTGTGGCACGGGATAGTATCATATCATAAGTACGATTTAATGTCCATTAAATAATTTTTTTATAGCTAGCAAATTATCATCTTCTATAACGTAGCCTATGTGGTTAAAGAATTACGCAGTAGAGATATTAATGTGTTCACATTGACTAGGTGAACACTTTCTTCAGGGTGGGTTGAGTGAAAAAAGAATATATTCGAACCATCATAACAAATTTAATTAAGCTTCTTATTAATTAAACTTAGAGTATGCTCAAGTCCCATATTATATTATGTACTAATTTCAAAACATATCCATATGACGTGGTCCATTTTGGAAAATTTTCACGTTGTTTTTTTGAAAAGCATATATCTTTTTTCTGATTTTATATATATTTTCAAAAGTTAAAAAAAGGTGGCCATAACTGTTAATCAAGAATATTGTTCCTCTTCCTAATGAAGATATGCCAAGAAAGCATTAGAAAAATTGATCAAACAGATTCGAAAAATGATTGGCCCGTATCATACCTGTAAAAATATAATCTGGCAAAGAATAATTTCAAAATGACATTTACTTAATTTTTTTATGGACCAATGTCCAATTCTTAGTGGCCAGTATGAAAATTGATTTTTCTTTTTCTTTTGGGGCAATTGATTTTATTCAGGTTTAACTTTTCAATATTTGGTCTGACTGTCAATAAATTAGCACTTGAGTTAAAAGTATTTTTACTAGCCGAATCAAACAAGAGTGATTGTCCTTATCGAGTTAGGCTCCACTGGTTCACTTGTGCTTTAGATCGATTTTTAAAGTTCGACTCGACCAAAATGTACAAATGCTCGAAGTCAATTGGGCTCGAATTTAATCAGCTTAAATTTCGCTTGAGTTCGTCTCAAACTTTCAATAAAGATTTTCTATTCAAATAATTTTTTTTCTTATAAACTTTGCTCAAATTTAATTCAATAAGTTTAATTTAAATTTAGCACGTATGAGGGATATTTAAGTAAATTATATTTATACTCAAGCTCTTTACAACAAAAAACACTCTGAGTTTAACTCGTTTTTCGAGTTTACTTGTGTTCGGTCAAACTCAAGTGGTGGCAAACGATTTAAAAGACACTCACTCGTTTGTAGTCCTAAATATTAGTTATTATCATAATTTGTACCAACTGCAACTTGCTGGCCCATATGCACATTGCACACTATAAATACAGCGCGTCACAATTCATGGAGAGACTCACTCGCAATATCTCTACCAGAAAAAATATCTAGAGAAACTAGAAAGACGAAAATAGCCCCAGCTCAATCCTAACAAAATCTCCCCCAAAGCCGAATGGAGCCCAACCGCAGCAAGCCCAGCAGGGGCTTATTCATTTCCAAGTCCAAGCTCGTCAAATCCGTCTACCGGGCCGCCAAGCCATCCAGCCATCCCTCCGATCAAATCTGGCCCAACCAGCCCACCAAGCCCAAGAGCAATCCCGCTCCAAGCCCACCCGTGGGGTTCTTTATTATGAACCAGGACCACGCTCCACAAGTCGCGTTAGTGGCCGTAACAGCGGAGCGGATAAAACATGACTCTTACGGGTGGATGGAGAGCTTTTACAGCGCGTGCCCGGAAGACGAGGCTGTGGACGCAAAAGCAGCCAAGTACATCTCAAGACTCCACGACAGCTTCAAGCTCGAGCTGGTCGGGTCGGATAGGAAGTAGTAAAAAAAAATCCTATCCTATTTGTTTGGAAATATTAAAAATATATAGTTTAATGTCATATATGTTGGGTTGTAGTATTGTGATGTGTGGATTAATTATAATTATCACATCAATAATAATTGATATTTTAATCATTTTAGCTCGTGTTGATTTATAACAACTATTCACAATAAGTACTTATTATGTGTTGCTTTTGTACTTTAAGTAATACATTTTAGAAGTGGGCTTGTAATTTGAAGCTACATGTTGAACAGTTGAAGTTGATTTGCAACTTTTACATCATTGTTATATATAATCTTTTTTTATTTTTTAANCAAAGGTGGATGTGTGGGTGGAATAATACTCTTTTTAGCGCAAGTAGGAAAAAAACAATGAGTAGGAATTGTTCTTATTTTGATCAATTTTAAAAGACTACTTTCCTTCATAGATATGAAATTATTTTTGAAAATTCTTAGACACGTGTAACCAATTTTGCAATAAAAAATAAAAATTTATCTGGTATTTTGTTAACAGCGAATCTGAACCTCAGGCTGCACTATATATTATGCAACTATAGTAATTTAGTTTCTAGCTTCTGTTTGTTGATTAATGAGTGTTGTGATATTGATTGACAAAGGTAATTAATCACATGATTATTGGTTGATTAAGGAGCAGAGTTCTGTTAATTGAGTGATTAAGCAGCAAAAATCTGACCAGTAAATATCTAGCTTACACATAAATTATAGTCTGTTACTATAATTTATCTTTCAAGAGATGTGTACATGATGCAAAATCCTAGGATAATCCTCATGCAAAATTCCAGTTTATTACATTTATCTAATTTTATTTCCACAATCTTTGTCGTCATCTCGAGTGATAGAGCAGTAAATGAACCGAGTCGAACCCAAGTCTTGGTTCGATCCATTATCAAATCATATTCAAGTATTAACGAAGCATCCGCTTTTGGGATGCCACGCTGTAAACTATGACACATAGCCTGCTATTGGGCTGTTGGGTTCTTGGGCCGTCCGCTTTTGCATAGACCAAATCCACAATCATCTGATCCAGCAAAGGCCTAAAATTGGTTGGCCTAAATTATTCTTATACTGTTCATACATATTTTTTAATAATACATATTATTTCCCTGCTCAGATTCCACCTCCATACAACTCAACAAATGCAATAGAAAAAAAATTGCACTCACAATTACAAAAAAGTTGCACTCTTGTAAAGAAAACATGCCATCATCTTTTGTATATACTTTCCCTCCTTTTAAATCCAACAGTCATATCACCTTTTTTCCGCACCTCAAAGTTTAGCACCTTCTTCATTAAGAAAAATAACAGCAATAGTGCAATTAAAATGTTATTAATTCGAAACCAAATTGATTGTCCCATTGGAGTTCATATACATTCTAATTAGCTCNATATATATAAAAAAAAAAAAGGAAAACAAAACCATATGAAAATACAGATTGACAACACCAAGAAGTTCAAGACAGGGACAAAGTGAATTAGTTAACATACAAAACCGAAATGAAAAAACAGAGATGATCATATATAATAAAGTATTACAAAGCGATGAATCTTGACCGTTCATCTTGACCCGATCAGCCGGTATAGATGTGGAGATGAACTGCCAGGATGAAAACAGCATATAAAGCGAAGAAAATAAGCGTGTGGACAGTTATGGCTTTGCCGTTGGTCTTCATGCTGCCCAACTCCACCAGTCGGTTGTTCCCTGGGAACTGAAAAACGAGTCCCGGCTGAAGGAGTGCGAAGAGTACAACTCCTATAAGCACAGGGCCCCAATCAGCCATTACCGGTGCACAGAGGAGCTTAATGGACCAAGCTAGAATAAACAAAGATTGAAATATTGACTAAGATATTGTGAATGAAAAAAAGAAAAAAAAAAAAAAAAGNAAAAAAAAAAAAAAAAACTTTTAAGGGGGGAAACAAAAATGAAGGTAAAGAAAAACAAGCTTTTGTTTTCATGTATGGAGAGGAAAAGGGAAGTGAGGAATTACTTTTGGTGCTTGCAGATAAGGATGCTGAGAATTTGGAATCCTTTTGCTATTTTAATCACAGATGAAATGAGTGCATACTAATGTAAATGTAAACACTAAACACATACTTAAAGGACTTTAACTAGCAAAGGTATTTTAGTTATATAGCAAATAAAAAATAATTTTTTAACAAGATGGGAAAATAAAAAATGAATTTACTCTTTCAAGAAGAGACTTAGGTTCCATAGAGTTTAAGTATTTTGACAATTTTTACATAATCTAAAATTCAGTTTTTCGTAAAGTTGTTGGTGGCTAGGTACTTCTTCTACAGATATATACTGAAATGTGAAAAGAATTAACATAAACAAAATTATGACATTTTCGTATCATAAATGTGCACTTTTGTTAAAAAGTATGACGAGTTAGCCTGTTTAACAGTTAGGCAGTGCAGGAATTAGTGTTCAATTTCTAAATGTATTTATTATTTATGTCCCATTAATTGAGTGAAGATCATTTCTTTTATCATTCTTCTTGACTAGAAATAAAGATGCAAAACCAATCATATGCATCCAGAAGCCATTACTTGGTGCAAAAATCCATAATTTGCTTCCAATTTTCTTTATTGTGTCCCATTTTTCTTAAGTGTTCATTATTCCATCATAAACTCCGTCATCCTAAACTACATAAATCATTTTATTTGTAGCTACATTAATCTTCCAATCAATAGCTAAACTTGCAAGAATTTATGTTATGGATTTTGAAAGTAAATTATTCCTCCAAACAATATTCTTGTAACTTTTTATAAGATTCTCACCATTTTATATATTCTTATTCGTTCATCTTCTTAAATCACTCATTTGCAGCAAAACCAAATACCTCAAACAATAAAAAGTAACAAACAAAAATAATAATAATAAAGGAAAAAAATTATAGGAATGAATGATTATGCTCCTGTGATGATAGCCACAGCCCTTTTTGCATTTCTATGCCCTGGATTGGTGCTTCAGCTCCCCGGAAAACATGGGCCGGTCGATTTTCTCGACATGAAGACAAGTTTTCCGGCAATGGTAATCCACACAGTTGTTTACGGTTTGCTTCTTGTTCTGTTCTTAGTTGTGCTTGATATACATATCATTGCCTGAGAGCAAACTGTGAGATTTTTTATTCATAAGTTTGATCTTCTTTCTTGCTGTTTTTGTATGTGTAATAAGAATGAACCCTTGGTTTTCCTTTGTCTTTGTTTAATTTGTTTGTTTTGATCTTGTCCTGAACTAATTGGGGAGAAGGTTTGTTGGCTGACTTTAAACTCAGGGTTTCCATTTTTTTTTTAAAAAAAAAAAATCTGCCTTATAGTCCTAGTTTTCTACTTTTTATTATCAAAAAGCATATGTGTTATGTGCTTTACTTCACATTTGTAGTACATATGTATCTTTATTATCCTGAAGAGTAACTATATATTGATCCATCATAACTCATAAGAACAAGTTTCTTCTAATTAATAACCTAATCATGATAACTACAAAAGGTAAAAACAGCTGAACCATGAAAACTGCATTCAGGAAAAGGAAAAATTGAACTTTGAATAGGAAACAGCATAAGTTTGCTTTACAGCTTACACGCCACACAAAAGAAATAGAGAAAATGTACCAACTAGCCCATGTACATATGGATGCCAATAGCTAACAACAAAATACAAATTAGAACAAAGTAAACAATTGCATGAACAAGAATAGAAACTCCACTCGTCTGAAAGTTGCCAAACTCGACAAAACGATTACGGCCCGGGACCTGAATCAGCAGGCCCGGTGTCAACAGAACGAACAGAACCACAGCCACGAAAACCGGGCCCCAATCAGACATCTCTGCCTAATTTTGCCAAATATTCCTGTTATTATGCAAAGTGTATATAGAGTGGGTGGTGCCTGATAAGAATGGTGATGGGATTAATATAGAGATGTCAGATGAGCAAATGGGAGAGAAAATAATTTGAGGGGAAAAAGTGAAAGATCACCTGGTGAAGCTATTTGAGATTCATATCGTTAGTTTCTTTTATTATTTTTTCTAAAGTTATTTGTATTGGAAACCATGTCAGGGTTGGCTGCTTGCTTGTGAAATCAAAATTCTGATTTTCACAACCTTTTTTTATGCAGATCGCACCAACAGCACGCTAAATGGACAAATGTATCATCGTAAAAATTTCAATTTTTTTTCTCAAACATCGAAATGCACAATAGTCAATACTATTATCATGAAATATCATATTTCTCCAAAACAACTTAAACAATTATTTATTATTTTTTTAAAATGGCTCGCCCTTATATTATACGGGCCAACACAAAGACCTCATTTTTAGCATTGAATCAATTTGCCCTAACCAAAAAGTTAATCAACTGTAGAAACATAAGACCGCAGCTTCATATAAATTGAACGAAATGCTGTACATTACAAATTCTTTCAATTTAACCATCCATACAGACTTGAGAGTTCATGCAATCAAAATGATTCCATCTCGACTGAGAGAATTTGTCTTCAATCTTCACAATAATATGCGAAAAGAATACACAAACAGCCAATCAGATGAATCTAAACACTTCTTTTAGAAACCTGACACAATAATTTGAAAAACAAGGTCAAAGGCCCGGGATTTTAATCAACAGCCCAATAGAGTTCCAGCTCGCTCATGCATAATTGAGGCGGAAAATGTCATTTAGCACATATAGGCTTCCTTGATGTGGCATCAAATGAAACATCTGTACAAAAAGTTGTTTATCGACATTAAAAACCTCAAAATAAGTTGGATATGAGATAATAAAGACCAATAATCAAACTTATAAGCAGCAGAAAATAAAAGGCAATTCATCATTGAAGAGAAAAACCACTATCTCAATGTCTATAATAAGTGCTCAAGTTCCAACTATACGTTGTCGTAGTTTTTACATAATCATCAAGAACATATAGAATAACAATAGCAACTGGAAATATGCATTACAACAACAACAACAACAACAACAACATACCCAGTATATTCCCAACAGGTTGGGGTCTGGGGGGTCAGTTGTACGCAGACCTTACCCTTGTAATTATACAAGGAGGCTGTTTCCGTAGCGACCCAAGGTGCATTGCGCCGTTTGATATATTTTTTTTTCTAAAAACTTCACTAATAGAAGAAGCACTAGAATTTAATTAAGCAATTTTGATCTAGTCCATTATTAGCACTATGCCAGGAGAATTGTCAACAATGACTCTTCCAGCTCCATTTGCAATGGACAAAACTAGAAATATGCATTATCCAATAAAAATTATTAT